TAAATTACGATGTGTCACAGTAACCGGTGTGTAACAATATTCATTATTAACTGAATTGTTTATATAGCTGCCTCTTTGTTTCTTCTTCTTTTTTTAGTCTCACGGTGAATAATAGACAACTCAGGTTAATTATCACACAGTGAATAAATGGAGTGTTTAATTATTCAATTATAAATATATATTTCTGTCAGTATGCACTTGACTCCCAGGTTTACTTTTTTAAGTAAATTCTCCGTTATTATGTACGTTGTGTAATGAAGGTTTATATGTATTTAGTGGCTATGGGAACAGACCTTGTTCTTATACAGTGGAACTTTGGTACTCGAACTTAATTCGTTCCAGAAAGCTGTTCGAGTGCCGATCTGTTCGAGTACCGAACGAATTTTTCCCATAAGGAGTAATGTAAATTTGATTAATCCGTTTCATACCCCCAAAAATACACTTCCAGCGACTTTGTAGTGTATTTTCGTATGGTATTTGTGATTGTATTCTCGTTTTCTTGGTCTCATTTGATAGAATGAAAGATATATTACAGAACTAGAGATGATTTTGAATGGTTTACAACTAAAAGTACCTTGAAATTGAGCTCAAAGTAGCTGAAATGTTCGATTTTTGCTGATGTTCAAAAGTAAACAAATCACCTAACGCGTCCAACACACGTCAACTGGTAAGTCTAATATGCCTACACAAATGCGCTGATATTATTTATACCATTTTTTATAGTAATGCAGTAGTCTGCATAGCAGTAAATCTGCAGTTTTAGTGTGAATAAAAATTTAAAATGGAAAGCAAGCATAATATAAGAGGGGCCCGAAGTGAGATGAGCCATGTGAGAGAGAGGGAGGGGCCAGCAGAAGGAGGATTCAGTATCTGATAAGTTGTCTTGATAGCCGGATACTAGCGGTGGCGCGAATACAATGCTGTGTAATTATGCTAATATTAGTAATAAATGTTGTCTATCACATTTATTCCAGCTTGATATCAGAAACACCATAGATAACCGTATATGCTTCTGGGCCAGTAGGCCTTCTGCAGTGTTCCTCCATTCTTATGTTCTTATGTTCTTATGTTATTAAGGCTAGGACCTTGGGTAGTTTCAAATTTAGGTTGGATAAGTACATGAGCGGTAGGGGTTGGATTTGAGTGGGACTTGCACATCAGTGCTTATTTCTTGGGTAGCATTGAAAACTGGGTTTGGCAAATGTTTTGTTAGTGGGATGAATTGTAAAGGACCTGCCAAGTATGGGCCAACAGGCCTCCTGCAGTGTTCCTCCTTTCTTATGTTCTTATGTAAGATTCCGAAATTAATAAAAGGCATATGGAGAGGCGGAGGCGGTGTTTACATCAGGGCAAACACTAACCAATTTTCATTTTGGTTGACTGTTATCACTAATCTTCTTAGGCCTCATGGTGACTTATTTATACAAATAATATAAAAAAATGTGAAGAAATACGAAATAGTTTACAGTGAAGTTCAGTGGAGTTTTGGACTGAGCGACAACCGCGGGGAGACTGACGCATATGTTCTGGCAGGTCGTGTTTGTTTTGTCGAGTGCCGAGCAAATGGTCGACTACAGGGGCGACTTTTTTACCAAAGCGTTTGAGTACCGAATTGTTCGAGTACGGAGCAGTTCGAGGTACCGAGGTTCCACTTTATAGCCTAAACTAATGTCACCTATCTAGTAACATATATTTTGTGGCTATGGGAATAGACCTTGTTCTTATATAACCTAATGTCACCCTTCGTAATCGACATTTCTACAGCTGGTCTAGGCTGAGTTATGTCTATGGAATGAGACACTTGTGTTCAGTTCATCAATTTTCAAGATTGATGGACTGAACATATCAATTCCAGGCTGAGGGACTGATTACCTCAAACTCCCTCACTGTTTCCACTGTTCTTCTCTGTATTGGAATGATGAAGCCACTGGCTGGCGATACGTTTCCACAATATAGATTCCCAAATTGCGTGTCTCTCATTATTCAACTTGTTGGTTTTCTAAACCAATTATCGCAAAGGTTACGTTTGGTTGGTTTATGTTATTAGATTTAAAAATCAAAATCTAACTTCTTTCCTGTTTGTTCAAAACACATTTTTGTCCATTCCACAACTCGATTAAAACGAATGTACGTGGTGAATGTACGTGGTGAATGTACGTGGTGAATGTACGTGGTGAATGTACGTGGTGAATGTACGTGGTGAATGTACGTGGTGAATGTACGTGGTGAATGTACGTGGTGAATGACATTCTTATTTTAGCTTATTATCACCAAAATAAACGACATGAATTACAATTACATTTTTTTCCCATGGAAAATATAATATGTTTGTTATTTATAATATATTAATAAACTTTATTTCTTATGTAGTATAAATACTTCTATATTCTCCAAGGTGTGCAAGATTTACCAACTAAACTGAATAGTTTTTTCTATTTTTATTTTCTACTTCAATTAGTGGAGGAAGTTGAACTGGACTGGAGAAGAGATGGCGTGAGAGTGGACGTTGGAGTGTGTTTCCATTATAGGGACGTCACAGTGGACGATACAGGACTAACACAGTACCAGCTGGTGTTGGTGGACTCAAAGGGACGCTGGCGCCGCGTCCATGGAGCATCACATACCAGGGAGGGTCGCCTATGTTTCTCAAGAGTAACTCTGGACTCCCGTCAGTTCAACACTGCTGAAGAAGTAACTGTGTTGGTCATCAAGAGAGACGTGGATGGTCGTACTGTCCTGGCCAGCGGGGAGTCTCACGTATTCTTCATCAGTAAGTCAAATTAGCACACTACTTGTTGTAGATTACTTGTAGCATCGCCTACCCTGGATTTAGCCAATTTAATATATAAATCACCGATGACGCACGAGAGTGCCGAAGATCTTGGGCTAAAGATTTCCATCCCCACTTGGCTTCTTCTGCATTGTTAAGATCGTTAGTTTGCGATTGTGCGTAGTATATATATGTCGTGCTGAATAGGTAAAACTTGCGATTTGGGCTTAAATAGCAACGCTCTTCTTGCCGAATAAGGCAAGCGAAGATTTGTGTATGCATTAATTTAGGAAAAATCAGTCTGAACCTAATGAAAAAATATATTTCACTGTGCTTGTTTATTTTTAAAATATATATTGTAAAAGTATCTAAAATATATTTAGTTGGATTAGGCTAAATTAAATTGCGTTTGTTATAATAAGGTTAGATAACTCTTCTAAGGTTCTTTTGATACAAAATTATTAATTTTTACATTAACATAAATTAAAAATATATATATCTTTAAACGTATAAGGGAAAATTTAAAAGAAGGACTTAATTTTAAATGAGTTCTTACTAAGTGACCAATACATATATATATATAAGCTGCTAGCAAATTCATGACCTTCTGAAGAAGTAACGATGCTCTTCAAACAACGATCCTGGCATAACTTGCTGCTTTTTGGCAATGCCTGTTTGGCTGTCCCACCAAGGAGGGACAAGTCACTAGCAACACATGTTATTAGGGCAATAAATGCATTCCCAAGGGTGACAACCTCGTCCGTCTCCCCCTAGGGCAAACAACACCCGCCGGGCAAATGCCAACAACAGGACACCCGACACCTCAAAAATCAGAGCCCAAATTAGCAAAAAAATTAGAAGGGGGTTTATACTATTGGAGCTTTGAGACTTATACCAGTGAGGATCCCATCGCTCCAAGGACGTCAGCACGGGCAAGCTTGAAGGACAAACATCCCCCAGGGCTCCCAGTCCCAAACATTGACCCCCCTGACATTGCAGCAGGCGAAGAACATCTAACTTACAGGATGCTGATGTGTATAAAGCTGCTATGTCATTTCCAAAGGGGTTCAGCAGGAGGTTTAAACCGGTTTTAAAGGCCTCAACACTTAAAAACAAATACTCAATCGGGACTTGGTGAGGTTCAGAGAGGCTGCTGTCTGAACTCACCAAATTTTCCAACCTGTGCCTGGCTGGCGGTGTCCCAGAGGCCATCAGACCCTTTTTCTTTGGTGCCTCATTGTGTGCCCTCCGGAAAAAGGATGGCGGAATCAGGCCCATTGCAGGGGGTAACACCCTTCGGGGCCTAGTCGCCAAGGCTGCAGTAAGAAGGTGAGTCAAGGGCTGCCGCAATGCTGAACCCAACTCAGCTCGATTTCGGGGGTTCAACAGGGTGTGAAGCAGCTGCCCACGCAGCACGAGTATATATCAAAAACATGCCCTATGAAAAACCCTGGTCAAATTGGACTTTGCCAATGCTTTCAACTCAGTCAGAAGGGATGCTGCTCTCCAAGCAGTTTATAGAAATTCCCTTCCCTTTATCCCTTCATAGAATCGTGTTATAGTGTGACTTCCAAATATTGTTTGGGGACCATGAAAATTTGACTCGTTTTGAGGGCGTGCAACGGGGGACCCTCTGCCCCTTTCTATTTTGTTTGGTCATCAAGGAAGTCACGGGGCACTCTCCAGCGAGCTCAATATCGGGTTTCCCTGGACGACGGTACCCTAGTTTGGCACAACGAATCTCTCCTGGGGGGACATCAGTAAATTAAAGGACCATGGGAGAAAAAGCCGGGGGACTTTCTTTAAACCCCACCAAATGTAAAATTTAGTTTCTACCAATCAACAGTTGACCCAGAATATTGTCCCATTTTCCCAGGAGCACGAGCCATTGACCCGGCCAATAGCACTCTCCTCGGTGTCCTCTTGGGTCCAATGCCATCGATTTGATCCTGGGAAAAAAAAGTCTCAGACCTCCGGGACGATGGAAGCAGGATGAAAGACATGACAACCGATGCCTTCAAACCTCTCACCAGGTGCCTGTCAACCCCAAAACTTACCTATTTTCTGGAGTTTGCTCCCAGCCTTCAGCGTCCAAAACTAAGGAATAGGGACTTTTCCCCTGAAGGCCATGCTAGAGAGTGTATTGATTCTTTCCTTGACGTTTGGACAGTGGTTGCAAGCCTCACTTCCGGTCAGGCTTGGAGGGCTAGGAGTAGCAGATCCCCCCAGATTGCTCTACCAGCTTTCCTATCCTTTCCATTGCATCAACGGTTGATAAGACAATTCTTCCTGACACCTCAGTGACTCAGCAGGAATAGAAGACCCCAGCTATGTCAGTGCCATCACCGAATGGGAGACTCTTGCTGCTCCAGCACCAAACCCTAGTGCAGCATGGTCACAAACAGTCAAGCTGGGATAGCCCAATTGCTGAAAAGGTTGCCAACATGCTCAGGGCTGCAACATCAGATGGGAGATTGCCCGTCTCCAGGCTGTGAGTGCACCTCCTCGGGGACTTCCTCCAAAAAAGTTCCCATATCGGCATGGGAACGCGACTCGACCCTAAGACCTCCGTATTGCAGTGGCTCTGCACCTTGCTGCCCATTCACACAGAATATATGTGTATTTGCGGCGAAGTGCAAGCAGCCAATACGGGTCTACATGGTCTTAACTGTTCCAAAACCCAAGGGCTGGCATGCAAGACACAATGAGGTCAACGAATCATTAAGAGAACCCCTTGCTACGCTGGATGCCCTGCCGAGAGGGAGCCACGATCACTTGCAGCAAACAATACCCCAACCCAGCAAACCGCCCCGACGGGATCACCATCTATCCTTGGAAGAATGGCAAAACTCTTAGCATGGGGGCTTAACCTGTGTGGGCCACACTGGCTAACACCTATATCCATACAGTGTGGGGCGACAGGGAGGAGTGCTGACCACAGGGAGGAGTACAAGATCAGCAAGTACAGGGACATTAGCCAACAGTATCAATTTGTCCCAGTGGGATCAGAGGGCCTTGGGATCATGGGGAAAAAATGCCACCGTTTCCTTAAAGAATTGGGTTCCAGACTTCGGGCACCACCAGGGACCCCAAAGGGGAGCCCCTTTCATGTTCCCGCGCCTCAGCGTCGCCTCCAGAGGGGAAATGCTTGTGCATACTTGGTTCACGTAGCCTCGGAGGAGCTGGAGGAAATTCTCATCTTTGATACATTGTGCCCCTTGTATTCATGTTTATGTTTTTTTCTGTAAATGTATTTTGTTTATTAATAAATGTTCACATAGAATATAAATATAGGGGGTGGTAGGAGAAGAAAATTTCAAACAGCTCCCGGGGAACCCTTTGGTTTTCCCTGGGGTACGTTTATTGTTTTTCTCTGAGGATGAGGGTCCCATTCCAGCTATAGAGGTGGTACTTCCCCATATACTTATTATAAATATATATATATTTATATATATATATATTATATATATATATATATTTATATATATATATATATTATATTTTTAAAACTTAGAGGAACAAGATAGCAATATTGGTAACACTGGGTTTCGCCAAGCTTCCCCGCCTCATATATATGTTGTGTTGATGGTGGTGGTACGAGGTTAGAAGCGAGTGTTGCACTATGGTAAACTGTGCACTATAATCTTGACAACGAAACAGTGACTGAGATCCAGTATTGCAGTCAGAGTTTCACTGCGAATACTACAGTTCAACAGATCACAATACAAGCCCATTACAGCCCCATAACACCACCACCACAACAACAACAGTCACGATAACAAGGCCACTCCATCAACATTGCTCACCACAGGGGGGAGCGTGGACAGCAGAGGGAGCAGTGTAAGCTGGAACAACCCTGGGAACTACACCTTCACGCTGTACAAGGGAGGTCAGCCACACCCTCTTGCAACCTCCCTCACCTGCCACACCTGCACTCACAGCCTCACCACTCAGGTTAGTTTCAAACATTTTAACAGGCGTCCTGAAGTGTTTCTTTAAATGTCCTTCTTTTAAACAGTCAGTTCACTCGGAAAAATTAATAGGAAATACCTCGGGTAATTTGAATAATCAGTGTCCCCACTCAGGTTAATAATTGACACAAGTCGGAGGTTCAGTTGTCACCCTCAGGTATTTAAATCAACCGAATCATTCGTAAGTTATTAGGTAAATTCACTCAGATAAATTAGAAATCAGTTCACTTACGTTACCGTGGTTCAGATACTTCCTGTCGCAAACGCAGTGCGAGTCCCATCGGTGCGCACTGGACTGCATTTTCCCTAGATACGTACCGTATTATCTACACACTACAACCCCCAAATTTTTACACGTACTTTACACTTCATAACGAACTTCCCTAAAATTTACACGTATTTTTCCCCTAATCATTCCGTATTCCCCTAATCATACATTTACTTTCCCCCTACATCATACACGTACTTCCTACATCACTACAGTACCTCCCTACATCACTACATTTAATTTCCCTACATCACTACACGTATTTTCCCTACATCACTACACGTATTTCCCCTTTACCATCTACACGTACTTCCCTACATCACTACCCCGTATTTTCCCTACATCCATACACGTATCTCCTTACATCATACACGTACTCCCCATCACTACACGTACTTCCCTACATCACTACACGTACCTCCCTACATCACTACACGTACCTCCCTACATCACTACACGTACTTCCCTACATCACTACACGTACTTCCCTACATCACTACACGTACTTCCCTACATCACTACACGTACTTCCCTACATCACTACACGTACTTCCCAAATCATTACACGTACCTCCCTACATCACTACACGTACCTCCCTATATCACTACACGTACTTCCCTACATCACTACACGTATTTCCCCTACATCTACACGTCCCTCCCAAACATCATACACGTATTCCTTACATCACTAACGTACCTCCCTACATCACTACAACGTACCTCCTACACATACATTTAACCTCCCTACATCACTACACGTACCTCCCTACATCACTACACGTACCTCCCTACATCACTACACGTACCTCCCTACATCACTACACGTACCTCGCTACATCACTACACGTACCTCCCTACATCAATACACGTACCTCCCTACATCAATATACGTACCTCCCTACATCACTACACGTACCTCTCTACATCACTACACGTACTTCCCTACATCACTACACGTACTTCCCTACATCACTACACGTACTTCCCAACATCACTACACGTACCTCCCTACATCACTACACGTACCTCCCTACATCACTACACGTACCTCTCTACATCACTACACGTACTTCCCTACATCACTACACGTACTTCCCAAATCACTACACGTACTTCCTTACATCACAACACGTACTTCCCTACATCACTACACGTACTTCCCTACATCACTACACGTACTTCCCTACATCACTACACGTATCTCCCTACATCACACGTACTTCCCTACATCACTACACGTACTTCCCTACATCACTACACGTACCTCCCTACATCACTACACGTCCTCCTACATCACTACACGTACTTCCCTACATCACTACACGTACTCCCTACATCACTACACGTACTTCCCCTACTCACTACACGTACTTCTTAATCAAAACGTACTTCCCTACATCACTACAGTACTTCCCTACATCATACAGGCACTTCCCTACATCACTACACGTACTTCCTACTCACTAACGTATTTCCCTACATCATACACGTACTTCCCTACATCACTACACGTACTTCTCTCACCCACACCGTATTTCCCTACATCACTACACGTACTTCCCTACATCACTACCCCGTACTTCCTACATCACACGTACTTCCTAATTCACTACACGTACTTCCCTACATCACTACACGTACTTCCCTACATCACTACACGTACTTCCCTACATCACTACACGTACTTCCCTACATCACACGTACTTCCTACATCACTACACGTACTTCCCTAAAATCCTACACGTACTTCCTACTTCACACGTATTTCCCCTACATCACTCACGTACTTCCCTACATCAACTACACGTACTTCCCTACATCACTACAGGTACTTCCCTACATCACTACACTTTCTTCCTAATAAACTAAGGTACTTCCTACATCACTACACGTACTTCCCTACATCATACACGTACTTCCTACATCAAAAACTTTACTTCCCCCCCTATAATACGAAATTCCCACATCACTACACGTACTTCCCTAATCACACGTACTTCCCTACATCACTACACGTACTTCCCTACATCACTACACGTACTTCCTTACATCACTACACGTATTCCTACATCACTACAGGTACTTCCCTACATCACTACACGTACTTCCCTACATCACTACACGTACTTCCCTACATCACACGTACTTCCCTACATCACTACACGTACTTCCCTACATCACTACACGTATTTCCCCCAAATCACACGTACTTCCCCAAACATCACTACACGTACTTTCCTACATCGCTACAGTTTCCTTCATTTGATGTTTTCTCTGTCTTTCCCTGCAGGCACTGGGAGAGGCCCTGAGGGTCAGTACTACCTGGAGAGCAGGACTCCCGTCAAGCTCATGCCAGGCCCCCGGGACTTTCCATTTACTGGTAGCTCTTGATGGTACCCCCATGTGGGGGATGCTAATAGTTCCTGCCATGGATCTGTATGTGATGATTATTGAGGCAAAAAGGACACAAGTGCGCTGATGCGACTTTTACGGGGCAACTTTTCGGCTTGACAAGCCCTGGAGGCGAAACGTTGCCACAAAAAAATGTTGATTGTTGCCATGTGTCCTTTTACTTACATATTGTGGGTAATGCCCCTTTTTACGCGAGTAATTTGTTTGTTGGTCCAAGTTCGTAGGATCTCGTTTATTTAGCTAAAAATCAAGGAAAAATTTATTTATAAATAAAATATAATAATAATTATTATTATTATTATTATTTTTTAAATTATTTTTTTAAAATTATTATTATTATCATAAACCAATGCTGAGGCACAAGGAGTTTATTTTTTTTTTTGGCCCAAATTTCAAAGTTTATATAGGGGTTTAAAAAAAAACTTTTCCCATCCTACAC